TAAGTATAGAAATTGAAATTTATAGAGGCGCACCCATAAAACTTACATAGGTGCCTCCATAGAGTTGATAGTTATACAGATTTTAAAAGAATTTTTGTTAGAACTTAGCGGCATTTTTTGTTAGTTTAGTGATGAAAATGAAACGATAATGTGTTGCTATGAAAATGATAGAGAAAATAATTATGTCTTTAGAAATTACCAGTTATTTTATAAATAAAATGTTTAATTAGTATAACTTGTATGTATACATGCTCACATAAGATAATTTTTCTGGTTCCGTCCCTACACAAGTTTCAAACATCACCTACACATAATGTAAATACTAAAATACACTTCTAGGCCTCAGGAGGCTCAAGCACACCACAGTCATAGTCAACTGCAGCTCTTATCCTAGGAAAAACAAACCTATAGAAAACATGATCCCTGAAAACCCTAGCAGCCCAAGCCCAGAGCCCAGACCCGCCCTGTTGTACCCAGCCCGATAAGTACGAGCCCACAATAAGGCCCGAGACCCGCCATCTCCTCTCCTTAACGTACTTCTCCATGCCCTCCTCCACCTTCTTCATGGTGCCGTCGGACCTTATTAAAGGTCCGACGTTCCTCGCAAGCACGACTGCGTCCTCGAGCGCGGCGCAGCCCCCCTGACCGAGGTCAGGAGTCATCGGATGCATGGCGTCTCCTGCGACCGTAACCGTTCCTTTGTAGTTCGGCCCGGTGAGCACGGCCCATGGGCTCCTAAACATGAGAGGGGCCCACGATAATGATGAGAGGTCGGAGCGTTGGACGACGTCAAGGTATTGTTGAGGAAATGACTTCTGCTAGGATGAGCGAGGGGTCCCTTGCAAATTCAGCTGCCATGTCCTTCTCTGAAATAATAGCGCCCAGTAATTATCAAGGCCCAAAATAATTAAAAAAGGTCAACCACCTTTAGGAACATAGGAGTTGTTTTAATACGCAGAAAGTATAATTAATAACGGCAGTTAAATTTTATAAAGTAAATGGGACCCGTGTGTTGCTTCATACGCTGACCAGTTTGTTCAGACTGTTACGGTTCAAATCATCAACATATCCAGACCATAGATTACAGCCGATGGTGTGGATTTGTTGATGATTTGGACCGTTAGTACATTGAGGGACAGTAAATACAGAGATTTCTGATATTTTGGGTTGAGTTTCTGACATTGTAAATTTTTTTTCTGAGGTAAAATGTGTGAACATAAGGCATGCAAAAAACATAATCAGAAATTTTCTTCACATTGGAACTCTACCTCTTGCCGTAGTAGGATTGGTCATGAACCAGTATATCTCTTTATCACTGAGAGGAGCAAAACCGCCTCTTTTACCACCAGAAAGGAATTGATTGGCACCATATTTCAACCCATGGCCTTCAGGATATACAGACAACCCACGAACAGCTGACCGTCCAGAATTAATGGGAGCCGCCAGCCCCAACCATTGTGCCACCACAGAATGCACCCCATCACACCCAATCAAAACCTATCATTATATCGATCAACGGTAAATCCTTAATCAGAACCAACTACAGTTAGATAGATCGAATCATATAGGGGAAAAGGGAATTGGCGGAGAGGAGCAAGTGATTTTCTTAAGTTTGAGGTTGGACAACTCGAGCAAGTTCAAAGGGGCGCTTCTACAGGGACCCCAAATGGGGGATCCAATGGGAGGACATGTGAGTTGTCCCCCTCCAGTTGGATGATGCACATAAACAGTGCATCATCCAACCAGAGAAATTGTTAACACGCGCGATGAAATGATAAACCATGTTTTTTCCGGTTACCTTCGTCCGGATGATCGCTCCGTCTTCTAGATGCAGAACGACGGCGCTCGATGAATCTCTTAAAACCTCGGTCCTGATCGACGCTAGTTTCGAAGAAAAGCGAACGGTATCAGGCTTCAGCTCCTCGGCCAGCGCTTCCAACAACACCTTCCTGTGCACCGCTCGTGTTCCCAGCCCCCTCCCCGTTCCTCCCCTTTATTACAAAAAGATGGAGAACATCAAGATCCTTGAACGTACGCCTTAATCTTTTTTTTTTTAATGTAAGTTTTTTTTTTGTTTGAGAAATAAAACATGACTATTTAGTCTTGACATTTTCAAAATTTTCATCCGTCCTGATGTTCATCAAGGTCGATCATCTAAGTTTCTAGAATTTAGCATGAGGTTCTGAATTGAAAATGTAAATTAAAGAGCTAGGGAAAACGCAAGGGGCTAAACAAAACTTGCCCTTGTCTCCAACTTGAAAGTTATCCAAAATAGGAGAGAGTTTAATTATGTGGCCGTGGATTTTCTCAATTTAATCCTAAATAATAAAACTCCGTCAACAAATTAATCAAAAGTACCCGTTCTGGCCAAAACTGATCACAGACTGCTCCCCTGTCTCAAGATTAGTAACGCTTCCCCTGTTCACAAGAATCACAACACAAACACCATCAGCCAACAAACTCAATCCCTGGGGACTGAAATTTGAAAATAATAATAATAATAAATAAATAAATATAGATATATATATATTTACCCTTCCAGTAGTGGATATATTGAGGTGAGCTTATGAGCCACTCCGAGAGCATCGAGAGCGCGCCAAGCGTTAGGAGACAAGCCGAGAGCCGCGCCGGTGGTTCTGAGCTCATCTGATCCGCTGCGAACGCCGAGCCTCTGCAGCGCCAGCGCCGTCGCTATGCCGGCGATGCCTCCGCCTACGATCACTACCTCTTGCTCTCCCGCCATTATCGCTGAATTCGAAGAATCCCTTCATTTCGTTTCGCGGTTGGCATTTATAGGAAATGTTTGAGACTTGGAGTGGAAGAATGGTCAAAAGTTGAAGAATACATGGTCGTGGTTGGCGCAAGGAAAAAAAGTTACGTGTCAAAAGAAAATAATAAATAAATAAAGCTGTCAAAACTCTTATTAGAAGGGCATTTCAAACATAGGAAGTTTCCCGAGGTTCGTAAGAGCTTTGTGGAATTTAATTAGAGTTTCATTCAAACAAAATGATTGACGTGGTCAACATTAGAAATTCCTTCAGCTCTTCAAGTGTTTGGGTAACACAAACAAAATAAGCTCACAACTAAAGGAAGAATCCAAACAATCATAGTAATTAATTTGGAAAGATTGCACGTGCTTATAATTCCGTCATGAGCAATATATAAGGTAGATGCCCCTGGCTCCATATATTTATGAAAGAGGATAAATTTTTAAAAGAGACCCATTTAGACCTTTATTCCCAAAAAACGATCTCATTCAAACAAAATTGTAAAAACCGACCTAGTTTTAGCTTCAGCGCTGAAACTGGGTCGGTTTTTAATTTTTTTTTTCAAAAGTTTAGCAGATCTACTAAACTTCACGAGAGTTGTTCACATGAGTTCAACTCCCGTGAAGTTTTGAAAAAAAAAAATTAAAAACCGACCTGATTTTAGCGCTGAGGTGGAAACCAAGTCGGTTTTTGTAATTTTGTTTGAATGATGTCGTTTTTTGGGATTAAGTTCACAAATGGGTCTCTTTTGAAAATTTGTCCTTCTGAAAGAACTTGAAGTTGGCGACAGCGTTATTAACATCATCCACAACTTCGTTCACGACGAGTCCAAGTATACAACAAATGTTTAGGAAATGTTTGAAAATGAATTCATCTATAACCCCCACCTCTTCTACCAAATAAAAGAGAGAATTTTCTACGTACACACAGGCGTAGCCTTGTATCCACAAACTTTTCTCGAGTTTTGCTTCTGAATAAGGTAACTCGCACAGGACCCAATCACTATACGTGATCGATCTGCAGTACTTACTTGCTGTTAACTATTTTACTAGCGCTTACCACCTCATGTCATTAGTAAGAGGAGGGATACATGCAACTCATTCTTTTCAAAATACTAATTCTGTGGTGGCAAGTGACAGTGCACACTACTACAAATAAGGGGTTGTTTGGTTAAAAAAAAATTCCCTTGAAAGCCTGCCAAAGTGTCACTTCTTTGACATGATTTACGCAAAAACGTCTCTAAAAAAGAGGATTTTGCTTGAAAGCCTGTCAAAAAGTGACACTTTTAGCACTTTTTGCAGGCTTTTAACAATGGCTTTCCCTAAAAAAACAAGGAACCAAACAGCCCCTAAGTATTGGATATCCCAGAAGACTTGCTGCAAACATTTCGGTCTTTACACTGAATTCTCAATGACTACTTTATATTGTTTATCTAATATTCTATGTTTTGGAACTCGACATATATGGGTTTTCATTATACATTGAAGAGATGGTAGAAGACGATTTCGGGTTTTGATTAGTGGATGTGAAACTGATTGTCGTGATCCCAACATTTTAACTTCAAATTTTAGGCATGATTTGAGAAACTTTTAACTCTTTTTTTTCCCGAAGACTTTTGTATCATATTATAGCATATATGCTTTTGACTTTTTATTGGCCTCTTTCGTCTCTGATATGTATTCAAAAAAAAAAAAACTTCCGTATCTAATTTGTATTCAAAAAATTTCTTCCTTTCTGTATTTCATCCCTTTGTTATTTTCTTTTTTGTTTTAATGGATCTGAATATGGTCTCCTTTACCAAGATACATCTGTATTTGGCCTCGTGTTGGTATTATTAAGTTGATACATATATGATAATTGTTATATATGATCCATCTGAATGCCTATTAGTTAAGCATATAAATTATTACAAAAATTCATTTTTTTTCTTCTTGTTTCAAATAAAAATATAGTTCATAATTTACATATATAATAGTAGTTATAATTGAAATAATCTATATATAGTTAACACTAAATATATATAATTTAGAAACAAAAAAGTACTTGTTACTGTCAAATAAAAACAAAAAGATGTAAGCTTTGTACCTTTCAAAGCCAATTACACCATGAGCATAAATTTTTTTGTTGTTGTTGTTGTGAAGGTTTTGCACATAAGGAACATAGCGAATTGCATTGATTCTCATTTTCCGTGAGGACGATCAAAATTTAAAGAACTTTTTATTTCTCGTAAGAACCCATGACTCAATATTAACTATACATCCACCCTCTTATTCAAACAAATGACTCACATAACCAACATAATAAATTTCTTGACCTCATCTAGGACCATAAAAATTTAATAGCAAAGAGAATAAGTAGACAACAATCTCAAGCAACTGAAGGAAGCACCCCGCAATCATACTGCACAGAATCCACAATCTTGGGCTGAACAAACCTATAGAAAACATGGTCCCTGAACCAATTCACGGCCCAGCCCGAAAGCCCGGCCCGTCCACCTTGTTGGACCCAGCCCGACAAATACGCGCCAATGATCAAACCGACAGCCCGCCATCTCCTCTCCTTCACGTACTGCTCGACTCCCCTCTCGGCATTGCTGAGACCAGCAGCGGCGAGATTTCTGGCGAGCACGACAGCATCCTCGAGGGCCGCGCCACCTCCCTGAGCGAGGTCCGGTGTCATTGGGTGGAAGGCGTCGCCAGCGACCGTTATGGGCCCTTTATGGGCCTGGCCCGTTACGAGGGCCCACGGGACCCGGTACTTGAGTGGGGCCCATGAGAGGGTGGAGAGGTCTGCCTGGTGGACTACTCTGAGGAACTCTGGAGGGAAGGATTTGGCGAGGTTGTTGGTTACTTCTCTTTGGATTGATAGCGGATCTCCTACTGCCAATTCTTTTTCTGCCAAAAAGAGAAAAAAAAAAGAATCAAGAAAGATCTAAACAAACATTTTTATTGCAATTACGATGTATATTTTAACGAGAAACTATTCAGTAAACTCTGTCCACAAGATAGTTTGATAGTAATTTTTTTTATCCTAGAATTAGTAGAGAACATGAAATTTTGGTAATGCATTGCTCGATTTTCTACAGATGGCTCTAAAGCCTAATAAATTTTGTTTAATTCCAGGAGAAAATAATAAAAAAAAGTACTCGCCTTCAGCAGCATAATGGGTAGTGAACCAATAAACGTCCGTATCATTAAGAGGAAGAAATCCAGCCCTTTTCCCCTGCTTGACAAACTGTCGAACTTCATGATCAAACCCATGGCCCTGCGGAAATACAGAAAGCCCGCGGACCGCAGCCCGGCCTGAATCTATGGGCCCACTGAGACCCAGCCATTGAGCCACAACAGAGTGAACCCCATCACACCCGATCACTGCCTGTCGTAATCACAATATCAAAGATTTAAGTAAGTAAACCACCAAGTTTGATTAATCAAAAAGAAAGTTTTGAAAATATCTTTTATTAATTAATTAATTAGTTACCTTCGCTCTGATTAACGTCCCGTCCTCTAGTTCCAAAAGAGCAACGGTTGATGAATCTTTTAAGGTCTCGGTCTTAATCGAAGCAAGCTTGGAGGAAAATCTAACTGTATTTGGAGGGAGTTCTTCGGCTAATGCCTCTAATAGTACTTTGCGATGAAGTCCCCTCACTCCCAGATCACCGCTGTTGATCGAGCATCACAAAAATTACGTGCATTTTTGTTAGTTATGTAAAATGTTGTTTTTCTAAGAAATTGAAATCTATTATAGTAGAATAATAATGTATGAAACTGATTACGTACGCTCGATAAAATGTGAAATGCTAATTGATATGCTTCATTAATTTTTGTTATTTAGAAGAAAACAAGAGATTAATTGAATACCATTTGGATGTCCCGGTGAAAGAAGTCACTTGAGTAGTTCCAGTCTCAACATTAGTCACCCAACCTCTGCAATCCAAATTAATAATAAAAAAACATTCAGAAATTGTACAGCTGTTCAACCTCAATATGGAATTTTGTACAAATCAGTGAGCGTGAAAACGGAAAATATTGAATACATGCGAGCCGACTAAAATGGGCTAAAATTTTATTAAAGGCCTTCCTAGTTAAATTTGGGGTTAAAATTTTATTTTTGTTAAAGGTCTTCCTAGTTAAATTTGGGGGGTTAAAATTTTATTTTCTAACGTGTACATGTACGTGCACGTTAAATAATGTATATTTTATTTTATTTTTAAAAAATTTGCTTCTAAACTCATGGCCAGTGAGATTTGAATCTGGGGCACTCTGGCGAACGTTACCTCTTAACGGGACGATACATTGCGCCAAGCTTATCGCCAACTCCTACGCGCATTCAAAGAGGGCTTTCTCAAGCAATTTGGGGAAGCAACTCCGGCGAGCACGAAGGGCCCCCCGCAGGAGCACCGCAAAACCCGCCCAACCCCACACGACAACGCCTCCTGTATTTTCGACCTTCTCTTTCACTGCGGGCTCAAAACCGGCTCGTGGCGTCGCCAGTCCGGCAATTCCAGCGCCAATAATCACCACCTCTTGCTCATCCATCATTACTCTCTCTCTAATTAAGTTTGCACTAGAAAATTTGTTCTTGTGAGTTTTTCTGAGTTTAGTAGTGAGCTTTATATAGTTTTGGTTCCATGCATAATGGGAGAAGGCGAATTTGGACACGAGTTGTTTGTTCTTGTTGACTGGAGAAAATGACTGAATTTCCGCAACTTGCTTCGTGGAAGGTCAATGTTGGATGCTAACTTTGTCCGGCCCAGAAAGCAACAAGAAATACTTGATTAATTTGACGGTAGCGATGATATTGTTGATAATAATAGAAGTTGGCCCTAGGAATCTTGACCGTGTTTGGGAGTTTATTGAGGAAAAGGAAAGGAAAGATGAAACGGAAAAAGAAAAGATAAAGAATGTGAGGTAAAATATAATATTTTGTTAGGAGTTTAGTGAGGGGGGATGGAGGGGGCTTGTTTCATCATGTTGGAAGGGTCAAGACAACTTTTTTTATTAATCTCCCTCAAGTTCACCCAACCCTTTTGTACAATTGCTTACCGCTAATTTTGAGGAGGGGGGGGGGGGGCGGCGGGGCAAAAGATATTTTCTCCAAATTTTTCTCTTCATTCTCTTCCATTACCCCTCTCATAAACTCTCAAACATGGTAAATTGCAAACTTCTCTTCCCATAATACCCTCTCCTAACCTCCATCCAAGCACATTATGAGTGTTCGGTTATCTTCTGTTTGGGGATTTTGATGCTCTCTACTAAAAAAATATAGCGGGGAGATCAGTATATTAATGCTTGTCGTTGATTTGTATAGCGGTTAGTTGTGATTTATTCCAAATATACATTCACCATAATGCGCACTATTTTTATCATATGCACTTAAAAGCAAATCATAACTGTCCACTAAACAAATTAACAATTATGATACAGTAGTAATTTCTCTAATATTTTTCTTCTTCCTCCTCCTCCTCTTCTATTTAGTAGTGGGGAGGATCCGAATTCTCTATTTGATGCTCAAACTTTCATTCACAACTCGACCCAAAAATGACTTTATTTACATCTCTACTTGCCCCCCCCCCTAAACCCCCCCCCCCCCCCCCCGCCCGCGGGCGGCGGATGTCTTTTTTTTATCTAGCTCGCTGTTTATTTATTTGTTAACTTAAAACATCACATGCAAAATGGAAGCAACGTCACGAGTTTCTAGGACGGAAGAGCAATAGATTTAAACTAAGATTTATTTCAACACAAATCTGGGCCAAGACCCAGTTTTTCAGGTCGATATTTTCTTCCCAAAAAAGGCCCACTACCACAATGTGCGCAACTCCACCAGTGGGTCAGGCCTATTGTTGGATAGGCCCAAGTGGTGCGAGCACTTAGCACTGATCCCGGGCTCAAGGCCCAAATCCCACACCAACTCGTTGTTTTATTCCACTTACGGTAATGGTCGTCAAGAATTAATCCAACGATAGCCAACGATGCATGAACTAAAAAGATTCCATCTATCAAGTGCGCAGCCTGGGCCCACCTTCCCTTTATTATTAAAACTCAACGAGGACCAACAAAATACTTTTAAAAACATAAAATAAAATTGTTAAAAGACTCTTTATTCTCTAAAATACCACTCCGAATACTCGAGAACAGCACCTGTAGTTGACCTAACTGATTATCATAACATTATTCTGGGATTAAAATGGTAATCTTCCTTATTATTTTGTGGTCATTACTTTATTCAACAAACTTTTGATAACCTGGACTTGTGAGTGGCACTACAACCCTCAACCACACCTTTGGCACACCCCCTCTCTCAGCTTACACGGGCCCATTTTAGATTTTTTTTTTTTAACTAAAGTAGGCCCCGTGTACTGTAGCTAAAAGAGGGGTTGTGCCCCAATGTGTGATTAGGGGTGTGCCTGTAGTGTTTTTCTTTTATTTTTCACATAATCTCTTGCTACAATAACTCCTAGCCCTTAGCATGTGTATTTGTCTTGTTATCACATAAATATAAAAAAATTGTATACCGTAGATTTTATTAATCAAAATGAATTAAGTGAATTTAAATGTTTTCTTATAGACTTTTAGTCCACAATTGAGTGAATTTGCCTTTCCATTCCCCTTTCATGATCAAATTTTTATTAAAGTTTTTCTTGTGATAAACAACTCTTCAAAGTAAAAAAGGTAAAAATGCTTCCATGATCTGATATTTTGGCCGTATGTGTTTATTTTTCTCGGTGATTTCACAGCATCTTTGAAAACGCATGCTACCCAAAGATTTGACTAGTCAAAGATTTCATAGTCAGATTAAAAAAAAGTCAGAAAGAAGGGACACGTAAAGGTTGAAGCATAATTTTGGCTAAAATGGCACTTAAATAACTTATTGTTTGATCACTTTTTATACTTAAATATTTTAAATTATAAAATTGAGTACTATAATATTTTAAGTTGTTAAAAAACACTACACTAGTAACTTTTAATAATTGTTTCTAAAAATAATTTTAGTAATATGCCCTGATAACTAGCAGAATGTATTAAAGTGTTTTTTCTTACAACTTAGACATTAAAGTTATAATTTCTTATAACTTAGAGCATTAAAGTATTACTTTTCACAAGTTAGAACATTTAAACGTAAAGGTGGTGAGATAGTAGAGTACTTAAGTTATATTTTTTACAATTTAGGATATCAAAGTTGTACTTTTTACCACTTAAGATGTTTAAGTGTAAAGTGAAACAATAGGGTATTTAAGTGCCATTTAGCCTATTATTTTAGCTAAAAGAATCACATATAAATTTCATTTCATCCGTGTATTTGCGTGTGTTAGAAATTCTAATTGTGTGATGATCTCAAATTAACTAACTAAGGGTTGAACCGTCCATAATGATGGGGTGATGATTAAAATCGAGCTAATTAAAAATTTTGTTCTATGATTTCTGTAATTGAGTCATAACTATGCGAGCTTACTTCTTCTTTTTAGTTACTTAATTTGTAATAATTATGCTCCTACTGGTGATAAAATGAGAACAAAATTGTAGAACATATGGCAATAAATGATCCAGCTAGAGGAAATACTCATAGCTACCGAGATGGATATAACTGGAAACAGGTCTAAAAGAACTTGATTGAAAGTAACAAAAAAAATGTATATCAACTTTTAATTTAATGACGAGAAATGATCCTTTAGAGAACTAAATAAAAGATTATAATTCATGTGTTCAACTCTAGGATCTGGTATTAATTATTGGCTAAATCAATTTATATACCTTATATCACATCAGCATTATATGCTCTAAATAATATTTTGTTGCAATTATATACCCTAGCTTGTTCGCCATTTGAGTTTGATAAACGATGTTAAAAATTACCCCCTGCAATAGAAGACAATGCCTTCTGTTTAAACTTATGCCAACGTGTAAGTAAATAAGTAAATACTGCAATAAATAAAGAAAAAGCCATTGAAATTCAACATGTGATCAGCACGTGTGAATATTCTCATGGTCGTATAAGAGAATGTAACAACATACGAAATTTAAACAAACTAGGATATCTATTCTTTTATACAAATGGGAGAAACAAAGAGTCACTGTTCATGCTACAGTAAATGCTACGTTATATTTACCGTAGCAGTATTACTGTAGCAGCTGAGAAATTTAAAAGATACTGTAGCAGATCGGTTACTGTAGCAGCTCGGGAATTGCACTGTAACAGGCGCGTTACTGTAGCACCCTAGAAAATTCAAACCGGGAGAGTTTAAAAACGGCGGGAACACTGTAGCAAAAAAAAACGGGCTGCACACTAGTATATATATAATTGTCAAAATTTGTAACTTATAATATATTTGGTACAAAATAGTATAAACATAAGGTATGTAAAGTTGCCATTAAGCCTAAAATCTTTGTTGTTGTATTGAAGACCGAATCACATTATCTCGAAATAAAATAGACTATACTATATATTTTTTTTGTGGATAGGATCTACGAAGTGATGAGATCGACTACCGTCCACTAGGCAACAGCAATAAAGGAGTCATGTTCGCTTGCTTTGCCTGCGTTGGACTTTAGTGAGTGCTGCCAAATTAATTACCGACTCGACCCCTACACTTCCATCTCAATCGCCCGGCGGCTAGTTATACAGAGAAGAAGGGAAACAGCATCTCTATTGCGGGGAAAGCATCCGAGGACAAAAAAAATGCTCTCAAATCTTTTCTATGGTCCAACTGTAAATAACCACAACTACCGGTCTTATATTTATATATACTACGTGGAATGCACGTGCACCTACACGCGGTCAAATATTTTAGTTATTTTACTTAAACTTTATTTATTTACTATAACATAACATGGTTATAAAAAAGATTATAATTATCATAATATATTAATTTTTTATATTTCCATGTGCAAAATCTTATTAGATTTAACATTTTATCTTCTAGAGAAATAGTGGTGTTTAAAGCCTTAAGATATAATTGATTTAAGATTAATTAGTAATTTGAATGTAAATTTCAAAATGTTAATGATGTAAGGGACCGATATGGGAGAAAAAAACTATTATTATTAATGAAGAAAATAAATTATTGAATTCATCAAAGAAAAATGATAGGTTTTATCCAACCATTAAGGATTTTGTTTAGTTATAAGAAAAATCACTTCCACCTATTGTTTATCCGACAATCGAGTATTATATATATTCAAGAACTTTTTTTCTAGAACTTTCTACGTTAGAATGTGCAAATTCAATCAAGAACGAAAACATTAAGTATGTGATCAATTCCAAAATATGATATCGTACTCTTTTTACATCTCAACAACTATTAAATTGTCTGTCAAAACGATTACTCTCTAGTTTCTAAAATTATAAAATATACTTTGAGAATGATTTATACATAATATGTACTCATATTGATTGTATTTTAGCAAAATAATTCATATTCATTCAATGTCAAACAATATCCAAAAAATTATGTTAAGGAATTAGAAGAATACAGTTTCCGTAACAATACTCATATCCGAGTTATGAGCTTCATAAACTTATAAGAAATGGAGTAATATAAAATGACAACTTAATTTACTTTATCCAATAATTTATTATAAATCATGAAAGACAAGGGGAATTAAAAGGATCACATACCCATCCCAAATAAATATTAAGTTTCTTTTAGAGATTTTTATAGCAAAAGATTTTCACAAAAAGAATTTATGAGTTGACTTGAATGATAAATTTAAGGACAAATAACCCAAATCAATTCATTGAGTGACGGTCTTGCTATAGACTCCGCTCTTATAAAATTGATATCATATGTTGCTTAAGCGGTGCTTTTTGTTAAAGGTTGACTTTGAAAACTCTCCCTCAACTATGTGGCACATGTCAACATCACCCCCCCCCCTAATAATAATAATAATAATAATAATAATTTGAAGCTAAGTAAATCTCCGTCTAGTTTTGACCCCCCCCCCTAATAATAATAATAATAATAATAATAATTTGAAGCTAAGTAAATCTCCGTCTAGTTTTGGATATTTTGTAGATAATTTATCTCAACGTAAAAAAATTGACTTAACCCCGGTGAAGTTTTTTTACTTAAAACTAACCTCTCAAAACTAATATCATTGAGTCTTATCTACTATGTGACAAGTACTTAACTTAGAAAGATCAAAATATCTCTCAACCATAAAAGAATTACCTTGGTTTTTGCTAGATAAAATAAAAAGAGGTGATCTAGAGGGAAAAAGAATTGTAGATTGGTTGTTGTCCTTTTATTACAGGTTGAGCGTTTGTTTTTAACTAAAATGGTTTTCTTCAAAAGGGTATTTTGTCCAAGTCACATATTGAAGTAACTATGTTAAGAGCGTCTATTGATAGAAGTATAAATGATTATAGGAATTTTTATGAGACACATTATAGTTGAAGGGTGTTTTCTAAAATAGCACCAAAATTGAGAGGGGTTATCTATGACACCTCCATAATAAGGGGTGTTATTAAATTGAATCAGTTGAGTGAGTTTTTTTAGACAATCCCCATAGTTGAGACGGTTTTTGAAAATTTAGCTCTTCTTTTAAATATGGCTTATTTATAACTTATCCCTTAAACTTATAATAATTTAATATTAGTCCCTAAAATTACGAGCAATCTCAAAAAATTTAGGGAACAACATAGAATTATTGGATACTTAAAACCAGTGAACTAATATCTAAATAATTTTCACATATTTTCTCTTATAGGCATTGTATTAAATATTAATTGATATATTGCTATATTAGCCAATATATCGGTTAAAGACTTTATCTAAATAAAATTTCATATTGTTTTCTTTTATTTGGTGAATTTTTTATATATCGACCGCTATAAAGAATATGGTTAATATATCCCTTTGAAGATATCGAAGTAATCGTGTCATTTTTAATTTGATTGTGTGCTCGGGTTTGAATAATGTTTGGGAAACAAAATTGAAACCCCCAAAACCCACAAAAGCCGTAATTCTTCTCCAAAATCTCTACATTCTCGTCTCTCTAAAATATTAAGCATATATCTCAATGCAAATTGTTATGTATAAAACTCATTAATATGTTAGATTACATGTTACAATATTATGTTATGTATGACGCCCAGTATTATATGCATTTTCCCAATTTCTTCAATTTGATATCATGAATTTTATTTTTTTCAATACTTATCTCATGTCCACCACCTTGTAGTAGTCCTTTGAAAGCCTATTCAAAAGTTTTTTAAGCAAAGTATATAATTTTAGGAAATAATTCAAAATCTTGAGACTTATTCTAAATATGATGTTTTTTTAAGCATTGCATTTTAAACCTACCTCCCTCTTTGATACATTTGATTTGATTATTGTATGCTTAAAATTAGAAATTATATCTACTGCTCTATACTTAAAAGGGTACTATTCATGATACAGTAAATAATTGTAGTATAAATAGTAAATTTACTCTGTATGCTTAAAGGATGTCTTAAAGGTTTATTGTTCATGCTATAGTAATTTAATTTATTATTTACTGTATCATGAACAATAAACATTTGGATCCTCCTTAAAATATAGAGGAGTGCATAAGCTAAGCATCTGGTCTCATATAGTATAATAAATATTATTTATCAATGGGATTATATACTATTGTTTGTAGATAACAAAGGTTTTAATTTTTTATAGGCTTAACTGAACTTAAATAACTTATAGTTTACCAAAATTATACTTATATACCCCCACTTGTATTTTGCTACACTTAAATATTTTTCATGTTTTCTAAAATTTTATATTTGTACCTTATGTCATGTTACCTAAACATAAGAATGCTCTTTGTAATTTTCCTATATGAGTGTCATTGTATAATTTTAGGATAATTCTATATTTTCTACTCTTTCCATATATACTTTATTAATATGTAATTATCTTTTAATATATTACTATAATTACTAATAATTAATATGATGTAGAGTTTTACAATAATGTTGGAAGTTTTAGGGACCAAATTATACAAACTTGAAGTCACTTATAGTATAATTAATTAACAATGATAATTAATTTAGTTTAGCTAGTAATAGAATGTAATATCAAAAAAATAAGGGTAATATAGTCATTGTAAAGTTTGTCCACAACTCCCTCTTCTAAAGGGAGTTTGATCTTTTTCTGATATTATTGAATTAACATGGCATCACTTAGCATAGTGTTATAAAATATAACCTCAAGTTTTTTTTTTTTCAGTAAAACGGTAGGGAATAGCTGTCATGTTTCAGTGACAAGAGTTTAATGGGACAACCCAAAAATATAGCATATAAAAACCTATTAACGTTTTAGAAAATCTCTCCATAGGTGTGCAAAGATAACTACATTCAACTATTATGTTGCTCAATTCTTATTATTTTGAAATTAATTCACCAAATTATTGAAATGGCTATTACATTCCCAATTCTTAAGTTATTTTGATATTAGCTACTCTAATCAAGAGTAAAAAACAATTAGAGTGAAATTAGTCCCTCAAATTGCTAATTATATCATTGCTTTGAAGAACTAATTTTAAAATAGCTTAAGAATTGAATAACCTATTAATAATTTCAAATGCTTTGATGAACTAATTTCAAAATATGATAGATTTAAGGGACTAATATAATGCCAGTGTCCTCTAAGCTTCTTTCTGCCTTTTAGTTGTCAGCCAATTCTAATTAGATCAATCTTTTATTAATTACTTTTGAATAGAGAGGGTCTTAATTTGAAAGTTTTAACTCTGATTTAATAATTAATATTGGAAAGGATTAGGAGTAAAACTGACTAAGAATTTTTTTTTTCCAGAACTCACACTTTTTCCCTGGATAAATTCAGAACTCTCATTTTTAAATGGAGTATAATATAATTACAAGTATTTAAATAGTAAAACCCGGCTTCTAACAAGGTTCTGATCAAATAAAGACAAAGAACACACATGTGCTTGAATGATAAAGTTCAGACTTTTATTAAGACATGTGAATCACGGAATCCTCTACCCATCCCTCCCTCACATCAAAATGAATGTAACATTTCACCCATACACGTCCTTAAACATATCAAACTCTTCTCTCTCCCAATAAAAATCAAAATCTTGAAGCTAATCAGTTCTTCCAAAAGCTTGATTGCTGCGCAGCTAACATGACATACATTCAGATCGTCAGCTATGATTCGCGTTACTTGGTGGGATTTGAAAGCGAACCCCCATGACATATTACTCAAAACCTTATAAGCTAGTCATCAGCAGAAACAAACAAGCAAGCCGATGAATTTAATAGTTCTGCCTTCAATCTACTTACCATTTTTACTTATAATTCTCCCCAAAACCTCAAATTTCGCCCGCTTCTTTTCTAAGGGGGTAAATTTTTCCCTCTCAATTTGCCCTCAAAATCAACAGCAAAATCCTCCTCCGGCACCAAATCACTGGTTAGAGAGTGTAACGGAGTACGTACAAGTCAGAGATGTACGAGCTAGATTTGTATTAAAAGGAGAATAACTGACATTCCCCTCTCAAAATTAAAGTTGTGAGGAATATCTCCCGATAAAAATTACTTGCAAACTAAAGGAACTTACTTCAAAATACTCAGGGGGGCAAATAGTAATTTTGATAGTTTAAGGACCTAATCTCGAAATATGAAAGATTTTAGGGACTAGACTGAAGTTTTGGGCGGCAGGGGGCTGAAATCAACATCATCTCTACTCGCACTCCTCTTTGCTCCCCCGGCACCCCAAAGTCAAAAAGGCACGAGCCAACTTGCGAGCGCACATTCAATACAAAGAATCTCAGCTCACTGTTCCCCCCGCGGTATTTTCAAGCAGCCAGAGACACGTGGCCGTTTCCTTACACGTCCACGACTTTGCTCGAATACCCAATCAAAACTTTTATTTGTTCAATAACTTTAAAAAAGAAAGATACTTCCAAGCTCATAGTTGCCTTTTGAACAGAGAGAAAATTATGACAATTGAGGGTGGGCGGGGGCACCGGGCGGTGACCGGACTCCACGGAGTCATCACCAGTAGTGCTTTTGCTGGTGCTGCCCGCCCTTGTTTCGCGCTATGAATGTATTCTTCTGTTTTGGGATCTCGTGGATGTCCATCACTTGAATCGTCCTTTGCTTTTTTGCTTTAAAACCCAAAACAAACAATATAATTACAATCATGACTCTAGTAAGTAAATAATAAAAAATAATAATAATAGAGAATAAATACCATTTTGGGCTTCTTGGTAATTCGCCTGGAGACGCTTCCTCGCATTAGCCAGCCTGTCGTCGAGCATGCTGTCCTTCTGTTCCTTCAACTTCTGTATAATTTTATTTAAATAATTAAAACTTAAAAAAACACAAACATTTTTAGAAATTAACTTCAAATTTATTGTTTGGAAATCATGGAAAATATATCATTACAAATTAAATGTTTTGGTTCAAAGGTAACTAAATCAAGATGTACAAAATTAGAGATTATTTGTTTAATGTTCAATTGCAAGGCTATATTCGGAAACATGCTATTTTAAGCTCTGACGAAAATAAATGACAATATTTGATGTCGTTTTTTCTACAAATTTGTAAGTCACTTACCTTTTTAAACAAGGCTTACAATATTGGTAACCAAACATGAGAATAATTAAAATATAACTGCAACGTTTACTTTATGTAAGCAAGCAAATAATAATCCCAATTAAAAAAATAAAAATAAAACTTACTGCTGGACTCGCAGAGGAGGGAGTAGAGTGCATTGGCCTTGATGGAGCTTCTCTCTTGGGAACAACCTTTGGTTTGGGTTCTACTTCAAGGCTGCTCCTAGAGCTCGTTCTCCCATCTGCTTGAAATTAAAGCTCATTAATTAGCTACCTAATTACAATCAATGAAATTGTTTAACGCTCCAACGAGCTGAGAACTAATGACTCACTCTGGATATTGGGGGAGTAAGCAAACTCAGGAACCTGAAAAATTACAAGAAATTGAACGAAGATGAGTACCCCGTCGATCAAATTGACGAGAAAATTTGGGTTTTTTTGGGGGGTGAAAATTTTTAGATTGAGCACCTGATGACCATTCTGACTGCTCTTTGCTGGGATTTGCTGGGGGGATTCCCCATCAGCTGCAATGCCATTTTTGATGAAACATTAGAGATAGTTACATCAAAAATATCGTTTTATATTTTGTTTTTGGGATTTATCTCTGAGTGCGTAACCTACTGATAATTGCAGGCGACGCATTATCAGAATTTGCTTTCACCCATTCATCGACAATCTCTTTCCATTTCCTAAGTAACAAGAACAATTACAAAGCAATGAGATATCGAAAAATTGCCCAAATAATCCAAAATAAAATGAATTTTGAGCTTTTATGAACAATCACCTAACGAGTTGCTTCACCAATCTTCGAACTTCATTCGATGAATGCTTGCGGAGGCCATTGACATGGCGTCCTATATCAGTTTCCTGTAATTAACAATTTACAATCAGATTACTTTTGAAAAAACAAAATTTGGATAGAACTGAATCAATTTTTCATGTGATTTCACCTTTAAAGCTTTGAACGTTATGTCCATATCAGCGAGACTTTGCAGTAGACCAGCAACAGAATCATCAGACTACTTTCAACAAAAAATAGAAAGAAAAAAATTTAATCGAATTTTTTTTTCAGAAAATAAGATATGAATCGATAATCAACAAGCCCTAACCTGATCAGGATCTTCAAGCTCCTCTTTAATCGCTAGAATCTTCCTCTTCTCTCGATCGATCGGGTCCTCGTAACATCGCCGATCATCGTCATCCTCGATATCGACGTCCTCGTCCTCCTCATCTCCAACCCCCTCCTCCCTCTGATTCGACTGCGGCGTCAACGGCGACGATCCGAAAACTTTCTCGATCGGAGAGCTGCTCCCTTTCTCCTCCCTCGCTCTCGACCTCAGCTTCTCCGCTTCGAACGCCTCGATCTCAACGCGCTCGTCGCTGATCCGGCAAAGATCCTGCGGCGGCGGAGCGTAGAGCTTCTCGACGAAGCGATCTCTCCGCAGCCGGAGCTCCGGTCCGTGATCGGAGGCGGCGACGGAGATCGCTGTCTCGATCAGCGTCCACAGGTCAACGCCGGTTGTTCTCAGGATCGACCGAAGATCGTCTCGATCCATCGATCCGATGCCTCGATCAGTAATTTCTCAACCTTTTCAGATCTGAACTCGACGACGAAAATCTCCAATTTCAGCCGTCGTATAATCCAAAAATAGCAAATCTCAAACGAAAACGGGAAATCTTTTTTCGTTCCTTTTTCTTTTCTTTTCTTTTCTTTTCTTCTTCCCCCGGAGAAGAGGAATAAAGTTGAGATTGGGGGAGGAGATGAAGATGGAGAGGGAAATATAGATTTTTAATAATAATTTTGTGAATTGTTAAAGTTACCTCTGATTTATGTATACGGGGGTTAATTGTTATTTTATTTTGGGGTTTTGGGTTTATAAATAATTTTTTGAGGAGGCTGACCTTTTTATTTGCTGACGGCTTCGTTATCGAAAGAGGATAGAAGAGGATGCTGCTGCTGCAGGATGCTGCTGCCGTTGGATCTCTCTCTCTCTCTCTCTGGGAAAACGTAGCGGCAGAGAGAAGGGAAACAAGAGGGGGCAAATCGAGGAGGGAGATTTAGCGGTCTCTTCGGATTGGGCGCTCAGCGAAATTTTGCCAAATTTCGGTGGATTCTTACAATAAAGTCCAGTTGTTATTTCTGTTTTGCATGTTTTGGTGGTGTGAAGAATGTTTCCTGTGGATACTGCCCTTTTTGTGTGTTGACGTTAAAAAACAGCTAATGGGTATCCTGGATTTAGTAAATACAATGAGCTTTTTGTGTTTTTGTATACACGGATACTTTTCCTCTTGTTTAAAAAGTTGTTCTTTTATGTTGATTTTAGAATGTTTATGAAACCTAATGTATGTAATAAACTATCTTGCGGTATACATGAACTGTTTAATTTCTTCATTGATTGTTGAAAATAATTAAAACTGATAAGATAACAAATCATCTGTCTATGCATGAGTTATTTTTTTGTACACACAAATTATGCATTTGAATTTGACATCACCTAATGTTGATGTTAAGTGACCACACAGTCAATTATGTCTGTGGTTAGATGGGGTTAATGATTGATGATGTGCCGCTTCCTTCCACGAATATCCAGTTCTGGGTTGAGTGGCTGAAACCTGCACATATAGAAACTCGTGAGAGGACGGGGACTGGTTCCTCTATAGTTCCTCCGACGATCAAGTCAGCTGGTGAGCTTGAGTGGGGAAAAAAGAACTGCGTGAGTTCTGTAGTGTAGTGAAATTGCTTAGAATTACCTCATTTTGATACCTGGAATAGTACGTCTATTTATACCGATGGTATAAGGGTAGAACCGTCATTATGGATGAGCACAGAATGGTGGTGAATAAGTATGGGCTGACGGCTGAGTCAGCTCCTGCTTTACTGTTGTCGACTGACGACTGGAGGAGAGATCACCTCAGCATTAAATTTGAAGCGATCAGGGACATGGCGGTGCCGACGTGGTCCGATGAGTCATGCAGATTATCGGGGCTAGAGGTATGATGGCGCACGCCAAGCATTAATTATGACATCGACGTTGTGTCTGAGGGGAAAGACTCGAGACTGAAGTCGTCCTCTAGCTTCGCTGAGGAGTAACGTCTTTTGAGTCGTCCTTATGAGGATCCGAATACTTGGCCGAGTGGACTCATTGCGAGTGTTTTCGACAAGAGGATCGATAAGTACCGCCCTTCGAGTCGACACAAGAAGATGTCGACTTAGGGAGTCGGCTAAGTCGAGATCCTTCCTGGTCTTTGTCGCTACTTTGATTGGAACATTTGCAAGTAGAAGTGTGTTGGGGATTCGTAACAATCAATCGAACCCGTACCCTTTCGGATGTTGTGCTAAGAGTTTAACAAGTAGGAAAATCACCGCAAATAAAAGAAAAAATTGTAAAAAAAGATAAACAAGAAGGAACACATCAGAATTAACGAGGTTCGACAAACGTGCCTACGTCCTCGGACTCCACACCACACAATTCTTTGATTAATTGAAGACTATTACAATGCCTACAAATAGGTTTTTATCTCTCTGAGATCTCTTTGAAATAATCCTCTCAAAACCCTCTTTTTCTATGTTCTCTTAACCCTAAAAATGTATTAGGATATATAAATATATAAACCCAACCCAAAACAGAATCCTGAATCAATTAGGAAACTGGAAAAACATATTTCGGTCGACCGGACCATGTGAGTCGGTCGATCGGCCAGAACATCATCTTTACAGGATCTGCTTGTGCACCTTTTCGATCGACCGGTGACCTAGCGTTGGTTGACCGGTTGACCACTCTCAGTCGACCGTCATAAAATTTTGGTGCACCGGCCAAAGCGAGTTTCCTGGGCTGTTTTCATGCAGTCGATTCGATCAACCGGCACACGTCCGTCGGTCGACCGATAGGGGCTTTTCTGTTTCTTTGATGATTTCTTGTTCAGGTTTCGATCTTCACACTTCTAAAACCAACAAAGTGCACCTGTCCATTGTTAGCAAAGGGTTGCACTTTGATGAGTGAAACACCATAACACCTAATATGAATCTCAAGTTATTTAGAGTGGTAAATTGCTCGTCACATATAAGATGTGGAAAAATATCAATACAATGTCTTTATGTCGGAAGGTTAATATGCGGATTAAGCGGGAATTAATGAGAGATTATGGGTACTTAATCTTCTTTGATGGCTGATCATGTTGGGAAAGGTAGATCCTTGCATAAGCAACAAAACTTAAGGGCCCTTGATGAGATTTCCTCGAGCTTGCCCTTCGACGCTCAAGCTAGTTATGGTTGGAATTAGTATGAAGAAAAGTGTAATACTAAGTTGAGGGTTCAAAAGAATTTTGACTTGAGAATGATGAGAGTAGCTTATGTTTATAAGAGAGATTGACAATAAATTGGTAATCTTGCTTAATCAGCGGAAGTGACAATTAGTTGAAGTGATATTTAGTTTACATTTTACATATGTTAATGGCCAGCTGAGCGAGATGACCATAGTCACTCACATTGCATTTAACGCAGCAGCGATAGGGTGATAATGTGTGGGCGTCATCTAAGGAGTCATTATTACATCCCATCCGCATTAAATATCATGGCAAATGGAATGGTGGGATTTGTACAACACCTGAAAAGTCGTCATCATGCCTAGTCATTTACTAAATGTGGGTGATGCTGACGAGACAGTCGGGCATCCATTAGCCTCCGGACGACTATCTTTTGGTAGAGCCCGACTTGAAGAATGCCTTCCGACTCGGATTAGAACTATTGAAGAAGTCGGCTAGTCAATTTAGTCCACAACTACACTCGGATTGTGTTTTCAAGCATATGCTCGGACTGCTTTTTCAAACACATGACTTGATCCGACTGACCGACTCCTAGCACTTCTCAAGGGTCTATTAAACTTGTGATTTTTAGGGTATAACACAGTGATCTTGCATACAACTTATGCAACAACAGTTTTGAATCTGATAGCGATTGCATATTTCTACGTTGCCCTTCAAATTTAGCCATTTGTGATCTTAGTCTAATTGATTGCTGCAGTCCACTTTTATTATCCATTGTCAAATTTGAGACTCTTAACCTCAAGCTCTTTCTTTATTCTTCAATTAGGCTGTGTCACTGAGTAAAACGATAGAGTGCTTGACAATGAACACAAATGTGCACATAGTTTCTTTTCCCCCTGTGTGTCATGGCATCATTTTGCTTTCAAATTAGACAACGGAACGGAGTCGATATGATTTTTTTGATTCAGAAATTGGCTAAATTGCACTTAAATGCGTTATAGTTTTAGCAACCTCGTGCTTAAGTGACATTTATTTTAAATTCCAGCGAATAAACACTTCAAAAAATTTATATGTTGCATACAAACACTTTAAAGTTTTAAAAGTTGTACTTTGGTGTCTTCTTATTTACTCAATGTTGCGCATTGATGACTTATTGTTTATTTGATATTAGGTATAAATACGCTTTATTTGTAGATGACCTCACTTAGACACTCTAAAAAGTTTCTAATGCTTGCACTTTAGTGCCCTCTATGGCATGATATTCTTAGATACGTAGAGAAAAGTTAATGCCTTATAGTATTTTTAATGTTGGGGCATTCATCTATAACAGTTTCATATTTAAGATATTTATTTGTTATGTTTTAAAATAAAGATCACCAATATACAAGATTGGTAAAACTATAGGCCATTTAAGTGCAATTTAGCCTTCAGAAGTTTGACTACTTAAATTTTACTTTTCTTCTTAGGTTCAATACGCTGGTTAATAAATTTCGGAAGAAAAATTCCTCAAGGACCCAAAATGTTGGACCAATAGGGAGGACAAGTGATGTGTTCCGCTCCTATTGGATAACGAGTTGGCCATCATTAATCATTAATGATGGTCAACTCATTATCTAATAGGAGTGGGACACCTAACTTGTCCCCCTATTGGTCTTATATTTTGGATCCCTGTAGCAAAGCTCATTTCGGAATGCAATTGCCCCGTTTGGCTTTTGCTTAGGTCCTAAGCCTTGTCTTTGTGATCCCATTCATGTCCCAAATCTCAAAAGTCGGATTCGTTTGGAATCTAACGGCCAGTAGCTTCATTGCGTTGAAATATTCCAGAGTTCAACGGCGAGATCTTGACGTCGTTCTCAAGCTTTAAGTTGGGCCGTCTTTTCGTGTCCCGCAGGCTGGCATTCCGTGGGCCTTGGTGGTGGGACGTTCCGGGCCTTGTCAGCTCGGGTTAACAAAAGAGCACCTTTTTTTTTTGGGGTGATTAGCCTTTGACTCGTTAGCGAAACTCTCAAATTCAACGGTTTTGGATTTGGAATCAATGGCTGACTCTGTACTTTCTCGATTGAGGTAAATCATTGTTCTCTTTCTCTCTCTTTTATTTTTTCTCCCCCACATTTTTTTTGTTCCTTATGTATTTTTTCAGCTATTTTAGGATTGCATGTTAAAATAGCAAAAACTGCGGTGTAGTCGTAGATTATTCACATGCTAGTACAGCATTCTGGTTTACAATCAACATATGAAAGCAATTATGTGATTTACAAATTTCATTGCCCTATGAAACGGCTAAGAACATTCTTGTAAACAACCTATTTTTTGTAGGATCTGAATTTTAAATAGATAACGGTTTATAGCAAAATACGCGAAATTTAATTATAATGTTTGTTAAATTCGAAATGTCAAAAATTGGATCTCAGCATTGCCGATCAACTTGACTAAGACGCATAAAAACACGTGCAATAAAACTATAAAAAACATGCTAAAAACAATTTAGCCGTTGAGAATTCCAAACACCTTGCGTACCGTCAACAAAGATTTCATCTATGCGACGTCTGGCGTTCGTAGCCGTGCAAATGACATGTTAATCATAACGAAGCAAAACTTTGCTTAT